CATATAATATTAAGTACGATATCTTAGACATATCTTATTAACTTTAGCATTGTTAGCTTTAAGAAACCAAGTCTAATAAACACACATTTGAAAATTAATACGTCATTAATACCTGTGTACTCATTCTTTGAAAATTTATTGCAACGACCCAGGACCAATCACTGAGTTTACTCCAGCAAATAGGAACGAACAAAACGTGTCGTTACAAACCAATACTCAGCATGCACATTTCTACTTAATAAATGCAGTACAGGCAGTACTTAATAAATGCAGTCAGTGGTCTCTGCACTAGGGTCGCCAGTGGTCGAAAATCGACTAATAGAAAATACAATTTATTAACAATAGAGGGGTTTATGGAATAGCAAAGAAAGAAATAAAGGACAAACACAAAAATTTATTTTTAATTTTATTGAAGTTTGGCTGACCATACAACGCTGTTTCGAGTATTGCCAAGTACTCTACCTGATGAAGAGTACTTGGCAATACTCGAAACAGCGTTGTATGGTCAGCCAAACTTCAATAAAATTAAAAATATATTTTTGTGTTTGTCCTTTATTTCTTTCTTTGCTATTCAAAAAACCCCTCTAAATTTTAATAAAGCTTCTTTGTCCCTATAAAAAGAAAGTCTAGCTTTACAGCAGCACAAATACTTTATTTATTAACAATGTTAAAATAATTATATATTTTATATTTCAAAGTTCTCAAAACTTTAGTGTAAACAATATTTTCCGTAAACACCCTTTCATCATTAGCCAAATGTTCACCTTCATTACTGACATAAAATTTAAGCTCGTCAAATGATCTAATTCTAATGGCTGCAACGTAAAGTTGACCATGCGAAAAAACAAGTCTTCTCAACAATATTTCAACTCTATCAAATGTCTGTCCTTGGGATTTGTTAATTGTCATAGCAAATGCGGTGATGACTGGAAACTGAGTTCTTTAAAATTAAATGGCAATGCAGTCCCTGAATACGCCAAGTGTGTGCGTGGAATCAAAATACGTTTTCCGCGAGCAACTCCAGTAAGTACTTCACAATCCATTGTGTTATCATGCATTGTTTTGACTCGCATTCTCGTCCCATTCACTAATACTTGCTTCGTATTTAAATTTCGAATTAACAAAACTATTGCATTAATTTTGAGCTCCAACTTATATGGTGGCAAACCACTTACAATCAAAGTATTCAAAAACTCTACTGGATAGTTGCCCACCTCGCTGTTATTCTCTCAAATTATTGTGTCAAAACTGTGATAAACCTTTTTTTCACCAGCGATCCATACATCGTTATGAATAAGTCCACAATCTTCATTAGTTGGAGCTATCACAACTGACTTTAACATTCCATCTGATGAAATGGTTTCATTCATACCTCCAAAAATGTCTTGTACTATGTTATATTCAACACCTATCAAATTTGCTGGAATTTCAACTAAATCTTCACTAAACTGTCTGAAATTAGATTCACCATTGCCAATTCTCTTTAGAAATTGAACGAATTCTAGCTCTTTGAGGAGCTCTGCCCAACTCGTAATACAACTTGCAATCATTACTGATCGCGATGCATAAGGAACAAAGGGCAATTTTTGTAAAATCTCCACAAAATAATAAAGTTTTTCCAGCAAAAGTCTTTTGTTTTATTTTGTGAATCATCGCATAAGTCTTTCAACAAAGTATCAGTACATTTCATCACTTGTAACTGATAGTGAATAATGCTGCCGAATTAATAAATCTGTCATATCTACTATTTTTTTTTTATATTCGGTACTGTATTTTCCATTAGATTTATGGGCAGTTTAAAAACATTATGGAGTGTCTTTCCACCAATCAATAATGTGGAATCAATTTAATCAAATGCACACGAAATACATCGAAGATTAAGGGAATTTAATTTACGAATGACATCCGTTTGATCCTGTATCGTGACTCTGAACTTCACGAATAACTTTATCAATAACATAACGCTGTTCATTATTTGCGCTGTCATAAAGCTCATTAAATAAATATTCTTCTTCAAAAAGATCAAAAATATCGAGACCAGCAAATTTTGGCATTATTGTAGGTGTAGGCAAACCAAGTGACATACATGTAACATTATGTGTGAACAAAACATCCTCGATTTTCAATAATGCTCTATTGAAAGAAACACCTACACTACAACCATCTCTAACGAAATCTTCGCTTCAATTATCTCTAAATTCCACCCAAAGCGCTAATGCATTTGCTGAAATATTTAAGGCACAAATAATCGCAAACAAATTACGCATTTGGTTTGCTGAATTAAATGTCTTAGCTTCATTGAGACAAACTCTACACTCATTATCGTTGGACGCAATTCCACTAGCATGACATGCTTCGATAAATGTGCTATAAACAATTCCATTGTAAGTACGAACATCTTCGAATGATTTTGGCCCTTTTACATGCAACAAAAGCAATCGATGGAATAGCTCGATTTCTTTGGGAGTCGCCATATACATGCGAGTAATAACTTTATCTCTTTCTCGTTGACTTTTATGTCAAGATTTTCTACCATCAATCCAAATATAATCCAATGGAATTTCTGTATACGTAACATATATTGTTTAGCAGGTGGATCACTTTGATTCAATTGAAAGAAAGCTAATAGCTTCGTAAGCTTAGGATTTTCTACTGCTTGCCATTCTTGGACTTCGTGAAATATAAAATTTTGTATTTATGGCAAATGAGTGTAAAGACGAAAAATGATATGAGACTGAAAATGCATTGAAAATTCATATATCCGTCACATTGCTTCAGTTGATCCCACATATCGACCATTCAAGAAATTTCTAAATTTATCTACTTCAACTTGTACTTGCTGTACATTTTCCTTTGTATTTTCACTTTGAATTAAAAGAATTGTACTATCAAAACCCTTATATATACTTATATATATACCTATGTAATACTTTTGACGGAAGTGCACACCTCGACATTAATATGACAATTATATTTTGCAAGCAAATATGGATTGAATGGAACGACTTTAGCGATTATCTAAAGACTTTCCTCTAACATCAACGGAAACATTATTATCGCGTCGTCTATACAATGGATAATCATTAACTGATTCTTTTGTTGATTGTACGAAATCCTTTGGAAATTGTTTTGAATATTTTCCATCTTGCATACATACAGAGCTTGGATTCAAAACACCGCATGGACCGTTCATCATGTGTCTGACAAAACATTCATGTAATTTTGGCTGTAAATTTTTATTCGGAATCTCTGCACAAACAATTTTATCAACATCAGCTGGCCCGACGATTTTGTCATTTTCACATTAAGTTATGAAAATGCGAGCATGAAGCAAACCTCTTTTTTGAAATTCGATTGAATATATAAGAGCTTCAACTTTGCCAAAAACATCTTTATTCCAAATGTCAGATATGAGTTCTTTTAACTTCGATTTAAATACACGCACAACTATGTCAGACCTAAAATGAGATGATTCATTAACATCAATTTAATTTATTTACAATCTCCGGCCAATTCGGATTGCAAGTCATTGTAACAAACCACGATGGCTTGCCGAAGTGCTGAACAATTGGAATTGCATCTAAGTAATTTTGATACATGTTTCTCGGAGATCCAATGAAGGATGAAGGCAAAATCACTTTTCGACCTAAGCTAACAACTCCTACTTGATTCGTTTGCAAATAATCAGTAATATTTTTGTATACATCTGCCATCAAATTCACTTGATTCTGTCTTATAAAATGTAGTCGACATCCTTCTATTCTTACATACATATCAACAATGTACTGCAAAAATAGTTTTTGCGATTTATGCAAAAAGCTAAATTGATCTCTTATTGCAAAACATTCAAATTGTAACATGGTAACTTTATTTCGAATCTGTCTACCATTAGAATTATGTTGCACGTTATGCGACCAATTATCGTGCCAACCCAAGTTTCCATTTGAGAATAGTAAAGGATATGCCAATTGATCCAAAGCAGAATCTAATACTGATACATTTTTAACCACACCATTTGTTTTTGAAAAAGATATAATATTTCTCTGAAATGGTGCTTCACCATCTACAGTCGTAAATATAACCGCAACATCAGTCCGAATTGCACCATTATATCATCGTATATCTGTATCCCGATTCACGGTAATTGCCATACAAATCTCTTTCTGTACATTGCAAACTCTATGCCAATGTTTCTTCATTGCACGAAATGAATTTTATTTTATTGATTGCTTTCGCATTCTATATTGAACAGCCGTATCGACATCGTAAAAATACAACTGGGCATAATTTGGCGTACGACCATATACTGTGACCATGGGTCCTGCTCTATGATAAAATATGTCGCGAATTTTGAAATGATACATTCCTCTTAAAACTGCGTCAGAAATATTAGCTTCCGAACTGACCATAGCATAAGCCGAATTGTAGGTTCGAATATTGTCAAAATAATTTTCGGACCTTTTCTTTATATTTTTATCATTTGATGTAAGATCGTCATACAATGAATTAAAAAATCTTTTCGTGTTAGTAGTGGAAGATGTACTTTACCCTTATGAAGACACATTGTGAAATAATTTCTTTTATGCATTGTAGACTCTGAAGCAAAATGCTTAGCTAACCAATGCCTACAAACAAAGTTCATAGAACCAATATGAAAGGAATCAAAATTAGGCGGTATTTCGTCCAATGCACATTTGAATAAACTTCGCAAAGGAATTGAATTACTATAAACACTATCATCAACTTCAATTAAATTTAAATTTGTAGTATTAATTACATTTGTGTGTTCTTTTTAATTGCACATTTTCTCTATTTCTTTGTCTCTGTACTCTCTCTGTAAGCGATTTACGTTTGTATAGTTTGAGTCTGAGGTACATTATAAGGAGTTTGAGGTCATGAGAATGGCGTTGAGAATTATGCATACGAAGCAAATAATTAATATATTTCAATGACTATTTAATATATGCTAACGATATGCTAATAAAATTCAATATTTGCAGAAATGGCTCTCTTGCTTCCAGCAACCCTGTCACATAATCAGTCCGCAAACTATAGCAGCGATATATATCAAAGTTTGCGTCTACGCTACCGAAACTCGTACAAAGCAGATCGTGAACTCGAGTAAGTATAAAAGCAAAATATATTATATAAATTAATATAATGAATCCTGTCTAATAGTGTTTACACAAAGTAATTGAAAATATCTTTAAACGTAGTACTACACAACTACTAAAAGTAGCAACGCTCGTGCCAAATAATCACACATATAATAGAATCACACATATATTATGCAAACAGAAATTGATTAGCAAAATTTGCAAGGAGTAAAGAAATCATAAACTTGTTTTTCGAAAGAAAAGGATAAAGACTGAATATTATCATGTTTTTTTTGTTTTATTCATCAATATCATGCACTATTACATATTATTAAAAATGTTTGTTTATATTTTAAAGAACGCTTCAAGACTCTTATTTCAAATTCTTTTTAAAAAGATTTCTGGTAAGAATGATTCAGTACAAATTTTTGCATAATGCTTCAATGTGCTAGTGTTGCTTCTTTCTAGTTGAAAATGGATCTATTCATCATCGAGACCGATCTTTTCAAATATGGGTCAGTCGTCGAAAACATTTTCGAACAAATGATCAGGATGTAATCGAAAGAACTATCTTTCATCTCTGAGGAGGGATTGGTTAACTCGCTCAAATTTATTTACTTTCGTTATTGAAATATATTTCCATGACGATTTCCACTTTTTAGTTGCGATCATAACCAAGCGTTCTTATTCCAATAAAGTAAATCTTTACACTACAACTTATGCCGGCATAACCATCTTTTGTTAAGGCATTTAAAAACTATGTTTTTCTTTTTATAAAATTTCCTTCATTAATGGCTGAATCGGTGTTACGTTCAACATCTTTGAATATGTTGTAAACGGAGTAAAGGTCTGGTCAGAAAAGGGGTGAATTATTAACTCCGCTATAACACTATCGAATCGTAACAAAGAAAAACAATCATACCAGAGTGTATTATTTAACGAAAAAAAAATGCAATAATGGTGATCAAAGTAAATAAAAAGTGAAATAAGAAAAATAAAAATAAAAAAAAAAATGTATCAAAAAACCTATCTAAGAATAAAACTGTGTCTACCAGTGCCACTCCGTACTGTCTCTGTCCATGCCTGTCAGTGTAGACCTACTCACCCTCACTACCCTACCGTAGTTACCATTGAGCTGAAGTAAAAGGTCCTACTAAATTACTTACAGCTCCTTAATTACATCCAACTGTCATCTATATTTCTTGACCTTAAAAAAGAACAACGAAAAAAAACCAATTTATATTATAATGACTCTATATTTAGGCTTTAATCAAAACAAACAAAAAAGAAAAAAAGAAAAAGGTGAATTACAAGTATATAACTATATAACTATAATATATAACTATATAACTAAATTTACGAGTTCAATATTAATTTGTAAAAATTTGGATTGCGCCTTATTGTGTTTGTGGTAATTAATTATAAAACGGCAAAAAATTGTATTCTGCTTAAAATATTTACTACAAACTGGCAATGGTGTCTCACCGGAAAGAATTAAGCGTCGTGGAAAGAAAAATCATCATAAAATTTTGGGAGGAAGGGAAGTCGAACCGGGAAATTGGACATTTGTTTGAAAGATCGAACTGTACGGTAAATACCGTGATCAAAAATTGGAAAACTACCGGAATCCACGTTCTGGTCGCCCACCGACTGCTTTCACACCGTGAAAGCAGCTTAATATTAAATTCGGTAACGAAAAATCCACGTTTGACGGCGAAGGAAATTGTACGTAATATATAGGAAAGCTTTTCAAAAAATATTTCTGTGGTTACTGTACGCAGAATTTTAAGGCGGGGCGGTTTTCATGGTAGAGTAGCACAAAGAAAACCTTACATATCTTTAATTAATCGAAAGAATCGCATTGCTTTTGCCAATAAATATGTAAATATGCCTAAGGAGTATTGGAACAATGTGCTTTTCTCCGATAAATCCAAGTTCTGTATTTTTGGCATTCAAGGACGTAAATTAGTATGGCGTAAGCGAGGTGAAGCATTCACTAAACAAAATCTTTTCCCAACTGTAAAGCATGGAGGTTGTGCAGTGATGCTCTGGGGTTGTATGGCAGCTAATGGTACAGGCAGTCTTGTGTTTGTGAAAACAATAATGGATAGACATATTTATATAAACATGTTGAAGCGTAATATGCGATCAAGTGCTGACAAATTGGGACTAACAGATCGATTTTATTTTCAACAGGACAATAATCCTAAACATACAGCATAAATTGTGCGTCTTTGGTTGCTCCAAAACTGTTGAATATGCCTCCACAATCACCGATTTTAAATCCAATTGAACATTTATGGGAATTTTTTAAAAGATAAATTTCGATCCAACAGCATCTGAAAGACATAATCCTAAAGGAATGGGGCGAAATAACATAACAACTCAGGTGACCAGTAATCTTGTAGTTTCGATGAAAAACCGTTTAGTGCAAGTTCTTAAGCATCACGGTTACCCAACTAGTTACTAAATTGCATAAAAAATCAGGAATTTTACACTAAAACTTTGTCTTATATTAAGTGCTTGTAGACTTTTGATCGCTTGTTTTGCTACTCTTTAGGACAAAAGTACCGTTATCTCGGCTGTTTTTTACAGAAATGCAACGAAACTTCCCAAAAACATTGTGCAAAAAAACAATAAAATATAAATTTATTTTTTTGGAAAATATTTTCAAAGTTTTTTGTAGTGCCTGCTTGTAGACTTATGACTCTGACTGTATGTAATTATGTTATAAATATATGCAATATATATATATGTAGGAAAGTAGGTATGACAGCGGCGCAAAAGTAATTTAAAGTAGTAGAGTTATGTCGCTGTCATAAGAAAAGAGCGCAGGGCAACTCCGTTGCTTTGAGGTGTGAGTGGAAGTAAAAAGAAGTAGTGAGAGTGAGCAGCTCATAGAGGAAAGAAGCATATTCGTGCGTGCGTGTTAAAATTAGTTTAAAAATAACTATTACAATTAGTTTAAAATTAACTATTAAAATTAGTTTAAAATTAACTATTAAAATAAACTTAAGGTCTAGAACCTACAAACTTTGGGGGCTCAACCTAAGAGTCAAATAAAAAAAAAATGGTGTTTATGTAATGCATATGTGTAAATTTAATATATGAACGAGTTTATAAAAAATGCAAAAGGTGTGATTTAAGAAACATCGAAATTTTTAAACTTTGAATGATTGAAAATTGTTATTTACACTGAAGTTATTAAAAACAAATATGTGACATAAATTAATAAATAAAAAATTTGAATAAAGTTAAACTAAAAGCGACAAACATAACAATGAAAAACTAACTAAAATAACTGTGGAGTTAAACAAAATTATGTTTGATCCGTTCTAAGCGAGCTGCATATTGTGAAATACACAAATTAAAAGGAAAAAAAAAGAAGAATTGCTGTTATTAGTTGGCGTCGGCGTGGTGATCGAAGTTGTTAGCAAGCTGTGTGTGAGTACATGTGCTTTGTTAAACGTAGTAGTAAACGCAGTGCATACAGAGGTGAATGTAGTCACTGAGGTGGTAAAACAAACAACGCAAAAGCTGTTCTGACGAAGTTGGCGAGCGACGAAGGTGATGCGTAGCGGGTGCTGGCGGTGCAGTGGAGACTGGCAGAAATTTTTATATTTTGTTTAAGTACACATTTTGTTTTATTTGATTGCGTATTGAAATTGATACGTTTTAATTTTTTTAGCTTGTAATTTATATATTATTTTTTTAAACTTATTTACTTTTTAGTCATAATTTTAATTTTTTTTTGAAAAGATTGTAATAACGCTGGCACCATGAATATTAACAGTATCATTGCGCTGAGTATAGAAGGGTTAAGAGGGGAGCTTAGAAGATTAAATTTAAATACAGAAGGCAAAAAGCAAGAATTGAGAGAAAGATTAATTGATCATTATCAATTAGAAACGCGCGAAAATGTAGAAGACAAAGAAATACAGTTTGACAAAATGGCAACTGTTAAAACGATACAAGAACGTTCACTGTTTACGCTTCGTGATGTGGAAGACTCTCTCACTACATTTGCAGGGGTGGGTCAACCAAGTGTTAAGATTTGGGTAGAACAATTAGAAGAAATGGCTATTAGCGTAAACTGGAACGATCAACAAAAATTTATTTATGCTAAGCAGCTACTCAAGGGCGCAGCCAAATTGTTTGTCAGAAGCCAGTTAGAGGTAAAGGATTGGGTGTCGCTCAAAAAAGCATTAATTGCAGAATTCACAGTAAATTTAACAATGAACGAGGTTCATGCCATGTTAAAGGGACGAAAGAAAAAACCAACTGAATCATTAAGAGAATATTTGTATAGTATTATTGAAATAGCAAATCAAATTCAGTTAGATGAAATGAGCATAATAGACTATTTTATAGAAGGAATTCCAGACAGTAGAGCAAACAAAACCATATTATACCAGGCAACGAGCATGAATGATTTAAAGAGTAAGCTAAGTATTTACGAAAAGATCAGGAGAAACACATACTCGTCATTAAACACTACAGGAGGGAAACTTCAAACAGAACATACTGGGGTACAAGACATAAAAATAGAAAGAGAGGATAGAAAAGATGGAAAGCGTTGTTATAGGTGTGGAGGTAAGGATCATATTGCTAATAGTTGCAAAATCAAAGATTATAAATGCTTTAGATGTCAAGAGGTAGGGCACAAAGCATTCGAATGTAAACGTCCAGAAAAGGTAGTAGGAAATAGAAACAAAAACAATTCTCTCGTTATAGAAACTATTAATGATGTGCGTCGAAATGGAACTAATAGAGTTTTGAAAAATTTAGGAATAAATGGGAAGAAGGTACGTGCTCTAATTGATACGGGTAGCGATGTCTGCATCATCAGACACTCCACTTGTTTGCGGTTAGGAAACATTGTGTTGGAAGCTAGGAGAAAAACATTGACGGGTATAGGAGGAAAAGAGATTAAAACATTAGGTAGCTTCATAACATTAGTCGATTTAGATGGTATCCAAACCAGTTTGAATCTTCATGTGTTAAACGATGATGATGTCCAATATG